TGTGGACATGAATTTTCTTATTACCCTCATTCTACTATTATGAATTATGAAGTTAAATTCATTCAATTAATTTTAAATATTTTAAATGAGCGATCTAGGTTAGTCATGCATTTATTATGCATATATAAATACACAAACATACATGTATATATTTTTTTAATATTTACATGCATATATATATATAATTTATATTATATATAAATATTTTACATACAAACAATATTTTATATATAAACATATATTCATGCATGTGTGTGTATTTATATACATAATAAATATACACAATACACACACATATATTATGTAAACAAAAACATTTATTTTGGATGTGATTACTAACGATTAATCGTTTGGCAGCACTAATAAATAAATAAATTGAAGAAATAACTAGTTCTAGAATTGGACACTGCTAGACTGGGAAACTAGCACATGAGTTGTATGGACTACTGACATGATGATTTTATGTGAACGCTTCAGACACCATTCACTGTAACAAGTTTCTCCTTTTGTGTTCCAGGGACAATGACCATTTTTGCACGATCTACTTAGTGTCCAGTACTAGGGAGTTACCGTCTGCAGGGTTCACACTTTTCTTCCAGCTCTACACACACACACACACACACACACACACACACACACACTCTTCCTGTAGAGTGAGCTCGGATCTGAAGCACACACAGCAGAGTGAAACCCATCCATCATGAGAGATCTCCTCTGCTATAAGTGGATGAAAATATGAAGCGGCCCATGAGGCCGAGCTGGATGATGTCATCCTTTAAATTTAGACCTCCAACACAAACAGCAGCCGCAGAGATGCTCCCGCACACACGTCCACGTGAAGCCTCCTGCCGCTCTCATGCAGCACAACGCTCTCGTGCGTTGGGTTAAACAAGTGCATTTTTCCAAGCTATAATACTGATTCTCAAGCACAGCCACAGAAAACAAGACATGCACTGCTTGACAGTTTAAGGTCACTCTGACTTCATTACACAGAAGGAAAGCCGCAGGCCACCTCTGATACAAGGATATTAAAACGTGCTTGTTCTGTTTCCACAGAGCGTTTGTGGAATCTAATCTGCACAGAGTCACATGAACATGTAGAGCGGCGCTCCAGCACTGCAGCTGAAAATACTGACTGATGCATCAACAAGCGTTTTATAATTGCGCTGAGATTCCATAAACTGGAGTGCTAAAATATTTTAGCGGAAAATACCCTTAAAATGTCTTAGTTGTGAGCAGAAACTGGTTCAAAGCGCTCTCTTGGTTATTACCATACTGATCTCAGGATTCTTTGATGAATAGAAAGTTTAAAAGAACAACATTTATTCCAAAAAAAGAAATGTTTTCTAACAATAAATCTTTACTATCATTCACAATATTTACTATCAAACGCATACTTGCTGAATAAAAGTATTAATTTCTTTCAAAAAAAGAAATGAAAAAATGCACTGACCCCAAACTTTTGAATGGTAGTGTAGATTGTAACAGAAGACTTCTATTTTGAATAAAGTGAACAGACAGGACAAAAAAATACAGTCCTCTACGGTCAAAAGATCAGATTTGTGCATTAAGACTCGCAGTCCGAATAGACATAATGAACAGGTTTCCCAGCATGCCACTGGTGTTTACACTTTTCAGGAAGTCTTACAGTTGTCTCTGCAGACTTTGAGCTTGTAACTTCAGGAAACACCTTGAGCTCTTCATGAGAAATGGAGTAAGAGACGGTAGAGAAGCGCAGCAGCAGCACGTCAGCATGAACTTCTGATTGCAGAAGTCTGGTGAATCTGCGAGGCTTGACTGTCAGTCGATGGCCCAGACGTCTTGCAGACTGACAGGAAACACAACACCACAAACCTGCATTCTGCTCTTGTTTTCCTTCCCATGTTTCCTTCACACTGCTGATCACTTCACATAACAACTGAGCCTTGTGTAACAACACACACAACCATGTCCTATCTTTTCATTTACTCAATAATACATTCAAAACATGCAGCTCATACATTCAATAGATTGAACATAACTCTTCTGTGATGAATGTGATTTAAAAAATATGTATTTTCAGCAGACTCTCATGAACATGTGTCGAGTTCAGCAAGTCATCTGGTGCAGCTCTCCAAAAACTGACTGACATTTATGAATTAAGAATTTATGATAATTGTAAAAAAAAAAAAAAATTATATATATATATATTTAAAATATTTTCGAAAATGATGATTAAGATGAACAACATAGTAACTTAATTTCTTCTGTTCTGGGTTGCTTGGTAAGAGACTGAAATTGTAAAAAGCACTGTCTCTGTACAATTAATTACATTTGTTTATGAAAGTAAAAATAATAGCATGTTTTTAAAAGGTTTCCCCCCCTTTTGTTTCTCATTTTTATTTATCTTTTTCTTTAACTGTAACATGGCTGGCAGAGAAGACAATGGAGATGTGGATCTAAGTGCAGGAAATTTAAAGGGGTCATATGATGTTGCTATATTTGGTGTATTTGGTGTAATGAAAGGTGTTTATGCGGTTTAAGGTTCAAAAAACACATTATTTTCCACATACTGTACATTATTGTTTCTCCTCTATGCCCCGCCTTTCTGCGATTTTTACAAAGCTCATCGGTCTGAAAAGCGAGGTGTGCTCTGATTGGCCAGCTATCCAGTGCGTTGTGATTGGCCGAATACCTCAAGCGTGTGACGGAAATGTTACGCCCCTCACCATACTGTGATGCCGTGTCCGGCCGGAGCGACGAGACAAAAACATTAAAAGCCATTAAAAACGAGGCATTTTTTGCATCCAGTGGGAACATAATTACGGATTATAATGACTTATACTGTCTTTTTACGCGTTGCATTGTATAGCGCCCTATGCAATACAACAAGCCCTACTCTACACTGCTCAAAACTCGCGTTTGAATCGTCAGTGGCAAATCCTTTAAATATGAAAACGTACTTACAGTCTGTGAGTCAGAACAGCCGCATTGTAGTCTACTCTCCCAGGATCAGGAAAC